TGTTGACATTGCCTCCGCCACCTCGGTTCTGCCGCCGTTGCTGATCGGCAGCATACTTCGTGGCTGGGGCCTGCTGCTCGGATGTAGAAACCATAGCAGCACGACTCGCGCCTAATGCAGACTGTACTGCTGCGGTGATCATTGCCGCCAATTCATCAGGTTGATGGGAACCCGTAGCTGCGGCACTCTTGCCACTTCCTGTTGGGCGACCATTTAGAACCCAGCAATCCTTGCTGTCGTGGGAGCTGTTGGCGCCGTGGTGCTTGCAATAGAACTTAGACTGGCCGGAGCCGCTGTTTCTGCTTTTGCTGGGCTGCTTGCGCAGCCGTTTCTCCTTCTCACTCGTGATAGCTTGCTTGGACCCGGAGGCGTGGTTGCTGCTGGAATGTCGTTCCCACTCGGCCTGGGCTTGCTGCAGGTTGATCCAGATTGTTTCAGCGTCCGTTGCAATGCTGTTGAGTTGAGCATACCATCCCTCACGTGGGGTGAGCTCGTACTTGGTTCTGATGCGCTCCCTCACTGCTGGATCTAGGCCTTCAATGTAGCGCTCCGCAACAACCGCACGGGAGTATGAGTCTCGAATATATGGCTCGAGCTCCCGTATTTGCTGCAGGTACAGCTGTGGCGAGCCGTTGTCCTGCCTAGTCCGCAAATACTCCAGAACCTTGGCTGTCTTGCGCTGATGAGCAAAAGATTCGTCTAATTTTTCGAGATAATACTCGAGAAGGCTTTCACCATCCAATGCTGGCTCGATAGCATTGTGTGCTGCCGCTGACATGCCCTCTCCCTCTGCGCTAGCTGCCTGGGCAGCTGCAGTGCAGCGGCGGCTGAACCATGCACGAGCATCCTTAACTAACGTATGTAGTTGCTGCTTATGCCAGATGTCGTACATAGTACCTGGTGTAGGAAAGGTGTTGATCAAGTCGAGAGCTTCATCAACGGGCACCTGTCCTTTGTTGAGTCGGAAGCGTGCACGCAGTGTTTGCATTGCACGCAGCGCCCCGCGCTTGAAGGCAGGGAACTCCTCGTGTCGAAAACGGAGCATAGTGGGCCCCGACCACGAGGAGTCTGTATTCTCCATTTCGGTATCGCTGTACCAAGGGCTGATAGAAGGTGAAGACTGTACGGATCCTCCTGAGGGTTTGCTGGGAAGCGGAAACTGCTGAGGTACCGAAGTTACTGCTGAGGAGGCTCGGCTGTGTAGCCGAAAGGTTGGTCCTAGCTCTGAATTAGGCGAGTGGCTGTGTTCACACTCTGCTTCTTCGGCTGCGTCTGCTTGCTCCAAATCACCGCTGCTGCCTGTGTGCTCGACGCGTGCTTCTGACGCGAGGCCGTTGCTCAACCCTGATGCAGTACCGGAGTACTCAGGGTTCTCAAGCCACAGAACCTCCTGCTCCTGCTTGTGCTGCTCAGTGACGGGTTCCAGTCCTGGCTGCTGCTGCTGAGCAGGGAGGGGCGGACCCTTCTTCACTCCCTTTTGTTGCTTTGCGTGACCTTTCCTAGGGCGCGCTGGCGCAGTTGAATGCTCGATGTACCCTGGGGGCCGAGTTGAGCGGTGGGGATTGACACGACGTAGAGAGTCTGCCAGTGCTCAAAAGATGATCAGACTCTTACAAGGCTCTAGTGAGAGCGCAGTGTTCAGTGATGTCCGGGGACACTATTTCACTGATGAGTCTGTACGGCTGGAGCCTGTGTGCACGTACAATAGTCCTGGGACACACACCAACGCCGGAGCGCTTGGTGGCTGAGTACGGCAAAGATTAATAGTTCTCCAACAGCTAGGGCTCGGCACACGGATGCACCAATAGAGCCACCACTAGCTGGTTCCACACCTAATATAATCACACAAATATGCCCGATGGGCGCGTGGAATGCCAGACAACACCCAGGAGCTCGGAAGCTCGACACTGAAAGGGGTGGTTCGGCTACGAATCTTGACTCACTGCTAGCCAGATCAACCACGCCAAAAGCTCACAAGCTGGATAATAACAGCAGCTTTGCGGCAAATCAAAAGAAAATAAGAACGCGACAAGTAGGCAGTAATGCCACGGATGGCTGCCGCCGGAGGGTTGACGCGCCCGCGCTCCTCACACTGGTCGGAACCAGGCGAAGAAGTAACCTGAGGTCGATTAACACTGCGTATTCGATGTGCCTCGGAAGGCTAACGAGCTGTGTTGGCTTAGTGCGCGGACGCGAAAAGCCTAGCTCAATAGATGGGTGACACCACTTGGAGAATATACAGCGACGGATCGCTTTCAATAATAGCTGCACAATAAATTCGGGGTACTGGCACCCGATTCCTTACTTCTTACGGCCGCCTACTTCAGGACGACTCGCCGACCTTCTCGGTCGTTTGGCTGTGGGTTTAATGATGATTATAGAATAGGAGCTCTCCTTGAAGCTCCGGCTTGACTTGGCTGACTCACTCCAGCTTCGTTAACTTGATTTGCGCGATCGCAGTAGGCGAGGACGGGCTGGGAACGGATCCCTGTCGAGCCTAGAGGTAGGAGCACTAAGGGCGGACCTTATGGAATGCTGTGTGTACACTCTCTGTCTATCCTGCTCTGCTGCGCGTGTCGAGGTAGGGTAGGATTGCAGTCTTGTTACACCAAACAGTCCTATCAACCCTCCTATAATTATATTATCTTCAATAATATAATGGTCTATACGCTCACGAAGAGTTGCTTCGAGAGCCAAACGACAAATGTTTGGCCTCTTCGCACTCGCATTTATGGCGAAGTACCGACTGATCCACGCCGGGCCTTATCACACCCGGCCCTACCCTGGATGCGTAACGCTCATCCGACTAACGACAGATGAACGACAACCTAACATTCTCAAATCACAACGGAAAGCGCCTTATACGCTAGTCAGGCAACACCCAAAGTCTCAATTAAATCAATACGCGGTTCGCCTAACTACCTTCGGTTGGCTTAGCCACCTGCGGATAGCGACTAACTCGGTCGTGGCACGTAATTTGTGCGCTCCAGATGTTTTGGCGTGACAGATTAACTGGATGGAAGTGGCCCCGCCTAGGGGTGCGCCTCTCGATTGGTTAGAGCACACTCAAGTGACCATGCCCCAGCGTCTGCATCAAGTTCTCATGCGTGTCCGGTTAGGCTGGTTTTTGCCTTTGGGCAGAAGGTTTACGGGCAGGAACGAGGTCTTGCGCAACGCTGCGCGATTATCCGGCCCGCCGGCGTCTAGAGCCAGACTTACAGGTTACGTAGACATGCAGGTCAGTGTTTCGAGTACGTGTAAAATGCATCCAAAACGATCATTGTGTGCGCCATCCGGGATTTGCACCCGGGCCGCTCGCGAAATTCCGATCATGTTCACGTGGGAGGCGAGTATCCTGCTACTAGACTAATGGCGCAGAGCCTGCCCCTCCGCGCAATTCCGCCAACACAGTCAGCATACAGCCCACACATCCTAAACGCCGTCTCATGGGGCATTTGTCGCTGACCTGGACTTGGCACTCGGGGGCGTTACTGAGTGCTGGACATGCAAGGTACTAGCCTTTCTTACTAGCGTAGGAGCGGATTCCCCCACCAACTAATACGCGCGGTGATGATCTCATAGCGCATTACGCCACCCTTGAATTGCCAGTTGAGAGCATTCGTTAGGTATTTGCCAAGCGGCTTGATGCGCGATGGGAGTGTCCGAATACCCCAGGTGACCCCCGCGTTTTCCCCATAGGGATTAACTGGATGGAAGTGGCCCCGCCTAGGGGTGCGCCTCTCGATTGGTTAGAGCACACTCAAGTGACCATGCCCCAGCGTCTGCATCAAGTTCTCATGCGTGTCCGGTTAGGCTGTTGGGAGTTACAGGTTAATAGGCCTATCTGGGCAACGTGCTGGAGAATGTACACGCTGCGCATGTGGCATGTTCAATGCTGGCACCCACGTTCGCCCCTGGTGCTCTTACCAGTCGTGGGTGCATGTTTTTGCCTTTGGGCAGAAGGTTTACGGGCAGGAACGAGGTCTTGCGCAACGCTGCGCGATTATCCGGCCCGCCGGCGTCTAGAGCCAGACTTACAGGTTACGTAGACATGCAAGATATGTGTGTTTCAGTGAACCATTGGTTATATATATGCAGATGACACAATTATGCATGTTGTCCGCTTGTTCTTTAACAAGATTGTAAAAGAGACCGGCCAGCGTGGACCGTAGCGTGTAGGCTTCTTATGCACCTCTGTTACATCCTATGATCGACGTTTAAAGGTCCCGATACGGCAACATGCAATTTGCACGAGGTGGGAGAGGCCTTGCACGGCCGTGGTATGCTGATTTTTAGCCCCTGGCCGCGGGATAGGGAATCCACTTTTATTTGGCCGACGTTAGTTGCCCGCCGCTGCCGGCGGCCCCAACTGTCTTCACCACAACCCCCTTCTTCTGCTGCTCCATAAAAAATCGCATGATGAGATCGCGGTAATATGGGTCTTGCGGCGAGGGACAGCGGAGACTGGCCGCCAGCGCGGCGTCACCTCCTGGGTATGGAGCACAGCGTCCCCTGCGTGCACCCGCGAGCAGCGACTTGTATGGAAGCCCGTTTGTAGGAAGGTTGATCATCTATAGACCAAGGCCTTGATATTATACCATGGTTCGTTCTATAGACCATTCTATATCATGAGTCTATGTACGATCTACTTCTTGGTCCTCTCTTTTATATGATGACCATGTCTAACAAGTCAAAGTTACAAGTTCCGCACCAGTGCGGGGATGTCCGTCAAGACTAACGATATGATTGTTTTCCGTCGTCGGGGTTCGGAGCCAAGCGTACAGCATTATAGGACTTACGCCTATATTGTAAGGCCTGTATTCAATGTCAACGTCAATGTATTCAATGTCAACGTTTTAGAGCGGTGCACTTCGGCACTCTCTATGGCGCTGACTAGTTCAACACTAATCAGCAAACCGTACATATGGATGGCGATGGGTGAAACCCGTCGAAACACGTCGAACGCCACACAACTGGAGCAAAGCATTATGCACGATTACTCACGAGAGCCGTGTGCCGCGTATGTCGGTGCCAATTAGCCGGTCGGTGGTGAAAGAGGGGCAGGGTGTTGCGAAGAAGCTGCCGCAGACCCTGTTAAATGGAGGACACTCCGCGGGCACGCATCCAGCCAAACCGCCGTTGCCGTCTAGCTCCATCTCTACAAGCCTGTCGGCAAAAGCAGTAGCAGTAGCAGCAGGAGGTGCAGGGGTTACGAGGTAGCACACAAGCATGTGCGCCATGGTGTTCTGCCATGCCCCTGGCGCTCTTCATCGTGCCCACAACTTGCAATTATCCGACCAACCTGGCTTCTGATGTAATGGCCAGAGAAATTCACTCCTCTCCTTAACATATTACGCCCCCACAGGAGGGAGACGTGTAAACCCCAATAGCGCATGTGTTCCCCATGGCGTGCTTCTGTTCCACACTGAACCTAACCCTTATAACTAACTTTATTAATGACCGAGGTCGACCTTTGATCACCTTCGTCGGTTTACCCTAACGGGCCCAATCTGGGATCGGATATTGAGTTACGCATAATAATGGTTACCCTGATCACGCATAATTCTTATTTTGCGTTAATCACGAATAATGTTTTTTAATTACACTGACGACGCATAATGTTTCACACCTATACCTGTGCTTAAAGCAGCAGCCCTCTTCGTAGCCCAACACGGGCGCAGACGGTAATAGCGACACCCCAACCGTGTCTGGCCCAGCCCAACAGTGCTGACCGGGACACATAGATCGCTATAGCTGCACCCACACCGCAGTTCACGCAGGCCTGTCTCAAGAGGACCTGGTTTCGGTGCCTAGGTTCGGGCGCGAATTCCTGATCCTGGGGAACCAGCCAGATAACGAACGAACAGTGGCTCGTGCTTGGCTGATACAAAGGTCAATATAATATAGCACACCGCTGGACTCCCATGCTTGTCGAGGGATTATAACTTCCGAACACTGCTGTCTAGATCCTTTGTTGGCTGGATCGATAAACGGCTGGCGTGTGTGTAGGCGATACTCTATGCCATGCATTATGTGATGGTAAGCGAGCAAAGGACTTGTGAAGTGTGAGTCGCAAATTTGTGATGATGGTGATACATGACTGGATGGTGCTCACTTAGCTCACTTAGGAACAGCAGCACGACACCAGAAGTCGCGCACCCGTTAAGCAGGTTCCATTCTTGGGGGATAGTGCCTTGCAGCCGGTTGTTGCTCAGGTCAATTTCAATGAGGTTTCGGAGGCAACCGATCTCCCTGGGCAGCGTCCCCGTCAGCTGGTTGGAATCCTACATATGTACGGCAGTTGGCAGGCGGGGTGGATTTAGGATCCATGGACTACGGACTCGGTAGTCTGTTTCGATCGTGCTCCAGGTTTTCCAGCTCTTGTGATGTGAGCATTTTTTTAGGGTCATTAGCTAGCCTTGAACCGGACGTTAAGCAGCCAGCAGGCGGCACAATGCAGATGCTTGATGATAGGAATAATGTTCCAATTAATCACCAGTTGTATTCTGAACCTGGTGCCGTACTTCAGTACGGCGAATGTGCAGATAAGTTTGACATTTTTCCCTTCGCTGAATAAGGCAGTTGCGACCATCCGGGTGTTTTTTTATTAGTGCTTCATGCGCCTCTCCCACCCCGGTTCAAATCCAAGGAGCGGCATTGCCGGCAGCAACATGCAACTGAACGCCCTTTGGCTAGTCGCCCGGCTGGTGCTGGTCGTTGGTCCCCACCATCCAATAACATCTGTCTAATCACCTCTGGTGTATGTCCCTTGCTTGCCGTCTACAGTGTTTCAAAAGCGCTGTGAACCCTGGTAGCAACCCTGAACTCATAAACCTAGTACGAGGCTGATACCCAGTGCAAGCACACTGCATGTGACCCCCCGACCCGACAACGTGCATAACCCCAGTGGCACGACGACCCCACTCACCATGTCAAGCTCAGTGATGTTATCAAAAAGCAGAAAGCTCCTGTATACAATACGGCAGAGATGTAAGGCATATGGATTGGTAGGTCTAGTTCGGCTTGCGGCCGGCGTAAAGCAAGATAAATATAGTAGCTGCACTGAAAGTGCTCTTCCAGAATGTCATGCGGCTCTTGTAGCAGCTAGCTACGACAATCAGGCCGCCAACTGGACAGAGCCCGCAACTATGTAAGCGAATGTGCTGTTGCACTGCAACGGCCAAACATACGTGTTGGTTGGATGCTGGTGATGAGTTGCTGAACCCAACGAATACATTCTGAAGTCGGATGGGGTGAACGGATTAGGGTGCCCCTCTAGCAGGGGAGAGCAGGGAACTGCCTCCAAGGGAAAGGGGGTCGCTGGTGAAGCTATACCACCCTGTAACAACATACATACGTGTATTCGTATCCATATTTCGCCCTAGCTATGATGTAGCATGCCTGCGGTGCTTACGTCAACGACGCTGCCAACGGCAGATGTCGCCCGCATGCCCTGCTAGCTGCTGCCGTACATACCCACCCACCCCAACCCACCTCGGAAGGCTTCCAGTAAGTCCTCGCTTGGGCAGGTGGATGTTGGTAACCAGGCGGGGTATGCTCCTGTCCCAGTTCCACTGCAGGCGCGTGAAGACGTGCAAATATATGATGGGGGTCCAAAATAAATGATGAGATCCAAATAAATGATGGGGAACACCGAAGCAATCAAGGCCGCACTTAGGCCCGGGGAAGGAACAGCAACGGTCAACAAGGAGCCTGGGGCTAGAAATCGGGGCTGGAAATCAATGAAGTCAAGCATCCGCGTAGATCCGTCGTATCGTAACTAGGGCAAGATCCTTCCGGCGGGGGCTGACGAGCGGCACAAGACACGAAGGTAGAAAGAACAGCATGGGTGTTGTAGCTGGTTGTGTGTGCTGCTGGGCATGTGTTGTATGTTGCGTTTGTCCTCGTTTCCGTGACAGGGCAAGATTAATTGATTTTTGTAACGATAGGCGCAAACGTCCCCGTTGGTGCGTGGGCGTCGGTGCATGTAGCTCCATCCAGCTCCAGTGCGCCTATCGTCACAAACATCAATTAATCTTTTGCCCTGTCATGGAAACGAGGACAAACGCAACATGCATTTAGCTCCATCCAGCTCCTGTCGGTTATGTGGAGGCGGAAGGACTACACCCTAAACCCTAGGGGGTGTAGAATATTAAGGTTTCAATGCGCGGATAGATGCGTAGGGTAGACAGCTGGGCCCTATCGTCGCAGCCATCTGAGGTGAGGAATTGTTGTATCACGTCCCCGGTGCCTTGTTCTTGTTAGTCGTACTGTAACGAACGCGTTTGTGTAAGAGGGATCAGCTCCCCTGGCATCTCCCAACTGAGTACTCTTTGCCTGGTGTTACATTTGGGTTTCTCGTCCCGGTGTCTTGGTCTGGCTAGCTGCTCAGCCCGGATTCAAATTGTTGTATCACGTCTTTTTGCAAAAAAGGGCCGATCGGCGGATGATAGAGATCCCGTGGTACCCAGGATACCGCAGGAATTGCTCACCTGGTAGCGGCATGACACACCCTCCCAATCAGTTCGTCCCTCCACGAATTCAAAGCCTGTATTGGTGATGACGACATCACGGCGATGTTGAATTCAAAAACTGCACATACGTACGTGCACTATTCAGGCCGCAGATCCCATGTGTACTCATATACAACATAACACATATGTATGCATATCCATATGCGGATCGGACAGGGTTCTGTATGTTTCTGTATGGGTTGTATGTCACTGTCACTACTCGTTCGCACATTCGTGCGCGTGTGTGTGTGTGTGTGTGTGTGCACATGCACGCACGCGGTCCTGTGCGAGTACCTGGGCGTGCTGTGTGTACGGCATACGGTATATGGGAGGATCAGACATGTATGCGAGGAGTTGCATCTGGTCCGATTCCGCAAACGCACGTTTCCCTCAGTAATGTTCGTAGCGTACCTACCGCACGGGTCGATTTTGCACACTCCGCTGGTGTTGCATGTGTGAACGGGCCATTTGGACATGGCGCCGTGCCACTCCGGGTCACGATCCTTGACCTCCATATAGAATGCGATCAGGCCGAATACTGTTTGATTGGATTTAAATTGTTAGGGCCGAAGCGAAGTAGCAGCGTGCACGCCGACGGCATGATGTCATGCAACTGACCCACGGGTCCGCCAGTAATTTTGTGGAGGGTTAATGGCAACGTATGCCATGCTATGGTAGTCAAGCGCAAGAGCCAACAGCTAGTATCCCACTGGGACGCTGTCGTGGTGCCTGTGCGTGCGTGTGTGTGTGTACGTGTGTGTGTGTGTACGTGTGTGTGTGTGTGTACGCGTGTGTGTCTGCACAATGCGTGTGAAAGCACTTGACTCGGTCCTCGTAGCATAACTACTCACTCCCATACCGCACACGGGCCCCATCGTCAGCTAAAACACCCGTAGTAAGAGGCACCCTCCACTTCGAACACTTGAAAGCGAATTACCGTCGCGTTCCAATGTTCGGCCGCACGCAAATAGGCGGTCGTTCAGGGCGACTGATGATAACAGGAGGAGGAGCGGCAGGCAGCAAACCCCCCAGGCGTGCTTGGCGAGGACAACATAAGGCTCCATTGCAAAATTTCTCTATCGATATAGATAAGAATAGTTAAGAGTTGGATTGGGGTGAACTGGCTCAAAAAATTTAGGGTTTGCTCAGCTGCAGCCACGAGTACAAAAGTTCATAAGTACGCGACGAACGTTGCTGAATTGGTGCGTCACTGTAATTCCAACTTATGTTATATATTAGTGACTCAACTTGTTTTGCTAAAGAAAGCATTCTGGTGCTCCAAATGCTTGTGGACGTCTGCCTTTCAATTTTTACTCAATCATCTGTCAGGCTTCCCATCACTTCTCCCCGCGTCCTTCCCGACTGAAAAGTCAATCCTCAATCACAGCGGCTCAGCTTCCTAAACTTTGCGAATGCTAATCAACTTCTACAATGGAGATTTGCGGACCAGCCAGGCAGAGAGAATCCTTCGCTTATTAAAAGATTTATATTAAATGACATGAACGTAAGGGGATTAACTAAATAGAAGTATACCCCACCTACGATATCCCCTTCGACAACTATGATTATCCTCACGCGATGAGGAGTATCAGCATCCCACAGTTGATGATGATGATGAGCGTATCCTCGTGGATTTCTCGTTGCGTATCCTTCCATAAGCGAATCCCAATCGAAACTCATTTCGCCAATTTGCTACGGCACAGCTACCAACGCATCGTAGGTACAGTTACGACCACAAGTGTCGGTGGCAGGTACACCATTTTACTCTCCAACGTCCCATGCTTTGCAGCGCTTTCCCTGATTTGCAACATTAGATCCTGAATCCCGCAGAGTTGAAACCGGCAACAACACCAAGACAACACCGGCAAATCCAAGACTATCGAGATATTTTTCAACAACCAGTTCATGCAAATTTCAATTGATTGAACCTCGACTTGTAACCAAAACCGACCGCCAGACGCCGCCGGATGCCTGCCTCCCCTCCCTCTCGGAAGAGATAAACCGCATGCCCGAACGAGGTCTGACCAGTGAACAAAATTGCATTAACTACAGAATTATTAACAAATTATGGTTTTATACTTCCTTCTAACTTTTAATCTACCCGCCGAACAGCGGTGCCTCCTGCGCCTCCTTATAAAAAAAGTTATGTTAAGGATTCAACCTCTTCTCAACACAACAGCACCTGACACCAGGACATTTGCATAAATGACTGCAGCTGCAAAAGAAATTAACGACATATATATCCATCGTCCGCCGTGGCATCCCTTCACAACTCGCTCGTCCTGGTCCTCCGTCCTGCCGACGCCTGGGCATGGAATGCCCCTCGCATGAAAGAAAAGAGCAAGCAAACTCCTGCAGCCTCGGCGACTTACGTCGGTCGTTCATCATGCGGGGTCATGGGGGTGACCCTGATGCACCCAGGACAGGTACAGATTGTACGAAATTGGCGAACACGACGGAAAAAAGCAAAGCATGTGCACACACGGCACGTGATTGCATTCCCACCTCAACCATCAAAGTCCTCAAAAGAGTCCTATCAATTCTCAGGAAGCCAGGGGCAACAGCTTATTTGCTGATACGTCAGCTGAAATATCTAACGGTTCATAACTAGGGCAGGGGCAAGCACACATCAACAGTTAGGTTTTGACGCATTCACAGCAGGCAGTAGGTAGGCACGCTGTCGACTCCGCCAGATCGAGAGTCTCGCGACTTATCCACCTTCCTTGCCGAACTTCCCTCTTTTACTACCTTATGCCACTGCTGGGCGCAACCGCCAAACGCCACCACAGCCCTCATTCTCACCGTTGTTTTGCTGCGAAGCACCAGCTTACAACCTTCCCATAAATTTCCCAAAACCAACCGATAAGAATCATTTGCACCATTGTCGTTCCAGAAACTCATGCCATATGTACACCACGGTGCATAATAAAAGAGGAATGATGCTCAATGATAAGAAACTAATATGCAATATGTTAAGGATAGCTAGGCTGCCCTAGGAAAATGGCAACAACGGCACCGACAAAATGTCGTGTATGCCCACATACGCCATTCGACGCAAACGCTATGTGGTAATCCCATTGATTTGCGCCGACCCCTAATAATTGTTAGGACAGGTTGGCGGGCTTCCTGCCCGCATTGGTTCGACCTACTCTTTTTTTGAACTTGATTGGTTACCTTCCCAAACCCGGATTCATGGTCATCCAAACGAGCGAATCGAAGTCTTTTAGTCAAAACGTTCCAATACATACGAACCAGCTGTCACGTCGTTGGATCTTATCCTTCATTTGAACAATATCATCATAGCTATCTGGGGGGATTGCGCAAGGCAGATCATGCTGTGCTGCTGTGCCTACCTAGGGACTCGTCAACAATCCCATCCCATACTTCAGCCCTTGCCTTGGCTTCCAGGCCAAAGGCAAGGTCGTGCTCGGGTGTCCGCGCACCACCACCGCTCGTTCGGACGGAAAAACCTGTCTCTAACCCCCCCATTCCCTGTACCTTTACTTCGTGCTCGCCGGCGCACCGCCATGCTCAATTTTTAGATCGTCCAGGCAAAACCACGTATTTGCCGAGCCCACAGACCTGTACGGGGTCACAGGCAAAATTGACATACGTGGCCCGCCTTCGTTCATTCCACGCCATAAAAGAGTGTGCTGGTGGCCTCCCTGACATCAGGACACCCACGGTGGGGAAGCTACTGCGCAGTAGCTTTTTCACGCTCACTTTTGAGGTTCCTTTCGCCGAACTTCGCGCGCTGATGCAGCAGACGAGTTTCGCACGCCTCCGCAAACATCAAAAGAGACCAACAATTCTCTCAAAGGGGAGAAAAATTCAATTATTATTTCAGTACTTTAAATTTTAGTGGACTGCACCCTTTGCACTGTTTCTGTACTCACTGGAACGAGATCTTGTCCATATCATTGGCCCTGTTCCCGCAATTGAAAGTCGAGTCGAACGGCAGCGACCACTGCAACGGTGATGCGAGATGCATAGCACACCACAGGGGAGGTTCTGATTATTCAGGTCACTCGATACGTCCTTGCAGAACGTAAGTAAGGAAAGTGTGAAGATAACGAGGAGATGCCATCCAAAAGCTGAAAATTAGCAAGTGACTATCATGGGAAAGGATAATTTCGGAACTGCGGTTGAGCATTTATCGCTCGCTAAGCATTTATGAATAGTTTTATCGGTCCATCGCCGTACCAGCCGTACCCATACCAACTGTACGAATGGAACCGACCTGGATCCAGCCGTCTTCGCCACGGGCGCTAGGCGACACCGAGTTAAGATATGCCTGCAGTGATGGAGGAGTACGGCATCATGCGAGAAAAGGTGCTGCAGTGATGGAGGAGTACGGCATCATGCTAGAAAAGGTGCTGCAGTGATGGAGGAGTACGGCATCATGCGAGGAAAGGTGCGCTGGTTTAGTGGGAAATCGTGAACTAACTGGAGCAGCACGTGCTCGGGATAAGGGCCAAAATCTATTTTCAGCGATCCATCCCAAACGCGAAAAGTAATAAGCGGTAATTGCTGTGCCGCCCACTGCTTGGTACGCGGTGAGGTTCAATGGCTTGATCACACTAATGACCTGAACCTGAGCCAGCTACGCAACTGCTTGCTGGCCCCAGGCGGCCTCCGGCGGCGCAAAGTACGCGCGCATTTCGATGAGCAGGGAAAGGTCAGAATCTAGTCACTTTGATAATGATAAATAATAAACGGGAGTTCCTACTGCGGTCGTACTTTGCCGTACCTCTCCAGGGCAATAAATGTCATCCTCCTGCTGAGCCACCATCACCTGTACGGAAAGGAAAGGACGAATCGAATTTGTAACCCGATCAGTGAACCGCGTAAGGCCCAACGAGGTTGACAAATAGAATTATTCTTGAAGCTCAAGAGCCATGGGTCGGATTCATCGGATGGATCATGTCACATGGACATCTAACGGTATACCCGTCGCAATCTAACGGTATACCCGTCGTAATCTAACGGTGTAACCGTCGGGTGGATCCACCCCTGGCGAGCATTCCGCTGCCGTACATCCTCCTACAAGTTATATCATCTATATATAAGGGGAGTGTACCGCTCCGAGGAGTGTCAGCAGCGGGGAGCTGTACACATTCACACAGCATCGAACCCACCTTGAGCGGCGGCACGTTGCCGGGTGTGTAGCGATCTCGCAGCCAGAAGGTGATTGACGTCGCTCCGTAGAAGGGCTGATAGCCGGGGCGGTCGCATCCACGGCACCACCAAGTCATGCCGCCGCCTGAAGGCCAGGAATTGGGAGCGTTCGGTTGAGATGGGTGGCCACAACCACCGTTCGGTTGAGATGGGTGGCCACAACCACCGTTCGGTTGGGTTGGGTGGCCACAACCACTACCGGGGACGCCCGTGTAAGAAGCTATTTACACCGTTGTTCTATTACTTTCTACACCACCGAGTCTCCCTCTTCTCAGACCTGACCTTAAGAGCATGGGAGGATCACCAAGTAACCAAGCGCTGCACAACCAACGAACCAACCGCCAACCACTACTAACCCACCAGGAGCCACCTCGGCGCACGCCGCTGCTGAGCCGCTCAGTCCCCACCCTGGAGCCGTCACGTTGAAGTTATGGGTGGGCGTGTAGTACGGAAACCAGGACCAGCCCGTGGTCACCATGTTATCGTACAGCGTGTCACGGTTGATGTAGCCGGGGGAAAGCTGCAGCGCGGCGCCGCTGTAGCAGTCCACTGGCCTGCAGCATGCGGGGGGTGTTCCCGAGAGACAGAACGGCCGGACCGCGGGTCCGCGGGTCCCAGGTTATAGCTATCTCTTTTTTGTGGTGCTGTATGATGGTTGTGGCGGTTGGATGGATGTGGTGGTTGTGGCGGTTGGATGAAAAGAGCAACAGGAGTCAAGACCACTTTTTTTGTATTCCATGCTGCACATTGTAACCTGAAACATCGCCCCACTACTGGTTGCTTGCAAAGGAATACATCATGGGAAGGGATGTCCTGCCGCAATGATCAGAAAAACCAACATGTTCTGAGAAACCAGAAACCAGCACACAAGCTTCCTAAAAAGCGAGTACGGACCGTACGGCATCCTACCTGATGTTGAGCATCATCTCTGGGTACATGGGGTGGGCCAACTGTAAACGGTTCGGTACGGCAGGGAGGAGTGTTCCAGAACAGATTGGAGCCAGCAGGTTCGGGGAACACCACGTCATTGCGACACGAGGGAAACCGAAAAAACCAACTCCACGACAACGAGGCTTTCCTACGGGTCACTAGCTCAATAAATTCATTGTTGTTTTGTAAATTCGATATGTTGTATCGAATGTCCCAACCGCGTCCTTGGCGGTTAGATAATACGGCACATGTTGGTAGTACGGCACATGTTGGTAGTACGGCACATGGTGGTAGTACGGCACCAACCCACCCGTTCATACGCCCAGAACGAGATATCCATCTCGTGCTGCCCGGAGCGTGGGTTAGTGGAATTCTTGAAACAGCAGGACGGCTGCGGCACCACGTAGGTAGCGGTCGGGGAGGCAGGGGGAGTGTGTGCGGTTGGGCACTGCAGGGCCACGGGGGCTGCTGGGCACACGGCGGGTTTACTACACGATGTACGGTGTAACTTCGCTTCGTTACAGAAAGAAAGGAAGTTTCAGAAGTCTAAAATTAGGTCTACAATCCGCAGCCTACATTTGCGGCATTGGTATATGTGAAGTATTATTAATAATCAGTCCCCCTTAAAAAAAGGAGGGACGACTGGCATACAACTCATGGCTCAACACTAGCATAGCAGTCCACGGCTGCCACAGCGTTTTCCCACGCATGCCGTACCTGCTCGTACGGCTCCTGACCCTTGGGCGAGTACCAGCAGGGGCAGATGTCAATGACGTGCACTCTAATCGTCCTGTTTGGGTCCCAGCAGCGGACGTACACATAGCCGTCCTTCTCGGCAGGGTTGCCGGGGAACGAGCGGTTGAAGTTGTCCACAGCGTTCCCGTGCCTGTGTGTTGCGGCACAGGTACATAGGATAAACATTCTAGTGCAGTGCAGATAGGCCTTCGCGCATCATGCTCGGCTACATCAGCCACGGCTTCGGCGCAGCGCACACAAGTACGGCAGAACATACGGAAAACAGGTAATCTTAGAAACCTTGTGACAATTAAAGGCCTCGTGTATGTATGTATGTACGTACGAGGAGAGGCACCATAAAAAAACGAACTCGTGGGGTGCAACATGTGCCGACGCTTCATGTGCTGACGGTTTCGGGTCCTCTATGGGTTGAAGGAAATAATGGAATTTGATCATTACACTTGATTGCCGTGCGCCTTGCGGCCCCGTAGCGCTCACTCTGGATAGTAGTACCAGTTGCCGTACTGAACCGCCTCATCGTTGCGACCCAGGACGATGCCATCAACGCACTTGACCTCGTAGCAACGGCCGCAACTACCTACATAACAGCAACGATGAAAACCACCCTCAGTATATAGAAAACAGAACGTGGACCGAAATATGATGACGAAAAGGACGAGAGCCTTTCAAATGTGGATGCCTAGATTCTTAAGGATGCTTCAGGATGTACTGGAGTGACTGCGTATTATACGGCGTACAACTGCAATGCGTGTGGAAATTGCAACCCCCCTGTTTAAAAACTAAAAACGCTTCAAAGCTCGTACCGGGGAAGTCGGGATTGGCGTCCGCGTACGACGAGACTTCGGACTTGTCGAAGGGTAACGAGCCGTCGGCATTCGTGTAGCCGCACCTGCACACCGCGTATGTTGTGCAGACCAAATCGCAAATCGCAATTTTTTGATAAGAATTTTCGGGGGTTCAAGAATCGCTATGCGAACATCGCGATTTCGGGACATGCCTCGGATATCTCGGAGTAGCAGTCCTCTAAACACTAATTTACACTTAGGAAGTTACAACAACTTTTACCATAAATTTACCACCAGAATCCTGGCCGGGTGGCGCACAACAACAATAATGGATATAACAACGCACTCCTCCTGTTTTGTACAGCCCAACATGTCAGCAGATGCCCCGGCTAGGCCGCACTTCCCCTACCAGTAGAAAGTGCATTGGATGCACATACAGTTCATATGTGCATATATTTAGGCCAGTATACCCACCATGTAGAGTCTATGGCACAGCTACCTTGCTTGTGGGGGGCTGTAAGGGCTCGCAAGCGAGGGAGCCCCACAGCTCAAAAGGTGGCGCGCAACTATCGCAGTCGCAACTTACCCGCCCCACTCTAAAATGCCAAACGCCGACTCGCCGCCGCCACGGGACGGAGCAAAGACGTCCACAAAGGGGTGCGGAGTGCCGTACCTGTATGGCATGGCACGGCATAATTCTACACTGTGGATGCGAAGCAACCCAGGCCAAAAGGCTTGAGACATAGTTGGCAATACAAGAACGGAATATACGGCACGAGTCAACTTGAAACATAGATACCCCGCTATTCAGACCCGGACCCCTGGCCGTTGATGTTCTGGACCCGACCCACGGGTCGGTACACGAAAGCCATATGAACTGGAAAACACACAGATCGCCATCTCCATCCGTAACCAGCGCTCAACAAATAAAGCCGTTGTTTCAGTTTGCCCTCGAGTTTTTATACTCGTGTCCACACCCGATCCTCAAGGCGTCTACATGCAACTAATAACAACGTGTCAACTGCATGAGCCAGCACGTAAATGCACAACACGTACGACAGTCAAAACCCCAATCTGCCTGACCCGGGGATCACCATCTGCTCTCATTGGAGCATTCCCTTAGTGCCGGAACCAAAATTTCAACATCGGAAACCGGATCCCAATCTCACCATGAAGCTCGGGCTCGGATCCATCCTGCGGGCGGTGGTGGCGGCTTGCTGAAGCTGGTGTTAGGTGCGGCTGGGTTCGCGGAGGGCGGTGGGATGGGGCTCATGGCCGAGGTTTCCTGTCCACCATTACCGCCACCGCCACCGTTGCCTGTGCTAGCATTATCTTCAGCAGTCACATGCGTAGGGCCCCAGCAGGGGAGGAGGGCAAAGAGCACGAGGAGGTTTAGGACGGCGGCGCAACGAAGGGCCAGTTGTGCCATGGAGCTTTCAGGGCGTGGGCGGGCGCGTCGGGCCATCTGTGTGGTTGTACACGTGTTGCAGGGACACGGATTAAACAGACCAAACGGGGCAGCAACCTTTCTTTCCTTTCCTTCCTAGGGAGTGGTAAGCGCTAGTAAAGCTTTGGTCTTGATGAGAACTGCGAAGTAGGTGCTTGTGCAGCCTTATATAGCCTTCCTTCTGCGTGCGGGTGCTCGTATTCGGTGCGGCTGCGGAGACTTTCGGGCTGACTCGGCATATCCGTACGGTGGCATCGGATCGGATCGGAGTGTAAGCGTGAGGTCATTTCTTGAAACACGTCGGCATGAAAATTACAACACTTCTTTGGAGGCTCAGGAGTATAATTTGCCAACGTATGGCCTACTGCGACAGACGCCGATTTTCGCCAGAGGAAATCCAAGACTGTCATGAGCTGCTGCTGCTGCGCTGGACGTCGCTGGACGTCGCTGAAGCCATCGCCTTCACTAAATACAAATCCGAAATCACGAGTTGTAAAATCTTATGCATAATTTAGGCGTGTTTCCATGCCCAAGAAAGCTACACCCGAAGTTCACAGTCGCCGTGGACTAGATGTTGACCAAGCAGAAGCGAGGTGGTGTCCCTCGGGCCGAGGCGCTTCCAAGCTTCTGAGGCCCCCCATCTGAAAGCATCTGCCCAAAGCATTATTTATCGCTGAGCAAGCCGTGAGTGATAGGGTGATACTGTGACCCCTGGGGTTGTGACAAAGGCGGTGGCTCGGCCAGAGGATGCGCGTTGAGTTCAAGGGGGTTGATGGATTGCGGCGCATGTCGGGACCCGCTAGGCCTTGGAGCATGCTCTGGTCTGCAGTGTACTAAAGTTGCGACGGTCAAAGCGGGGACGCAACGCTGACGTTGAACGACATGGATCACTTCTATGGTTGACAATCTGACATGCTCTGCTGTAGCAAACACAGCAAACAGCAAAGGAAGGCAGACAGGAACCGATTCTCGTTAGGCACCAACGAACATCAACGGACCGCAAAGCGGTGTTTAGATTGATAAATGTGCATCCACTGCCTACCAACACATATCTCTGCACTTTTGCGGTTGCCCCACAGCTTGCTGCTTGCCGATTCCTTACGCCTCTGTCATCCGTAAGGCGGAAGCCGGCCTACACATAGGAAGAAAGCTTTCAGCTTTAAGTTTTGATTTATCCACCCTTACGTGATGAATTGTAAACATGATGTGACGTGTAAATGAAGAGAATGTGACGGTGAACCGGTGTGTCGTTGCCATTCCCCAATCCTTTGGGCCTCCAGCATACAAGCATCGACGATGGCAAGGGGAGCTTCTTGGCATCATTACCAAAAAAGCTTTGGGGCATGGATGTCGGCAGCCAAAGCGAACACCTCGACCTTCCTACATACCTTGTCATGCTTCTACGTCGTAAGTTTGCCATGTGTAACTTGCTCCGTCCAGAATGAACTTAATAGCGCCAGTATTTTTAACGCTACGGCAAATTTTGAGCTGAAGTCCTCGTCTTTCCGTGGTTTCCCATGAACCTGTTGGCATACCTCCCCCTCCCAGTTCAGCCGCTACGGTCTCTTTGTGTCAAAAGTTACCGGCCCCTCCATGCGGCCTACCTTCGGGGGCCAAGGGGACTACGTGGTTGCGGAGGCGGTGACGCCGATGTGGGGCGACCTTAAGCCCGGTGGGTGCACGGGCGCGTATCCGATCCTACGCCTTGTGAGTACCTCGAAAACAACATCCTGGTTGCTGCACCTGTGCATCTGTGTACTCGCTCGCCCTACCAGCGTCCACCTATGTCAATACCATCACCACCGCTGCCTCCTTCCCCCGAAGCACCCAGCTTGAGGCCCCGCTCCTCTTGATCTCCCCCATCCTAGGAGACATCGTGATTTGCGCCCGGCCCGTGGACCCAGCGGAGTCCATCATCAAGCGCGTGGTGGCGCTGGAGGTAAGCCGGAACCCGCTCGCTTTTGCGTCATCTGATTGGGTCGAGCCTTACTCGGCAGCAGCTTTTTTTACCTTTCCATTCGAAAGACGGGGCAAAGAGCTACACACGAGGGTGAGCGGGGGCCAGGACGCGCCTGACAAAGGGCAGAGGGGAACGTACCGATCATGAGGTATGGTATGGTGAACGCGAGGACAGGCAGGGCAAAGGGGCCATGCGCAGGGGCACCCCGCGAGAAGCAGTTTCCATTTTAACAAATTACATGTTGTGTGCCATGCGTCCCCAGCTCCCAACTCACCTCCTTGTCGCTACCTTGCCACTCACGGGTAGCAGAGCCTGCCCCTGAATTCGCTGTCTGGGTCCACGGGTCGGGCGGAAGTTTTGATGGTTCCTGGGAGGGGGGAGGTCAGGAAGAGGGGGGAGATTAGGAAGAGGGGGGAGATCAGGAAGAGGGGGGAGATCAGGAAGGAAGTGTGGGGACCGGGGCCTCAAGCTGGGTGCTTCGGGAGGAGAAGAATGAAGAGGAGGCGGAAGTGGCGTTGCTGGGGCGGGCAGGGTGAATGGGGCGCCAGATGTGGTGAATGGGGATGGGGTTTTCTTCTCCGTGCCCGGGCTCGATTATGACCCAAAACCAGGGGCCCCGCGTGTTAACGTCCGCGCGCCTGACCTGCTGCTCCTTGAAGGGGGACGAGGTGGTGCTGTATCCTGATCGGGAGAGCAGCGAGGTCCGGAGGGTGAAGGTACGTCCGTAATGCCTATTTCTTTAGCAAGGTGGTCTGCACCATCATCAGCACCAGCACCAGCAGCAACATCATTACAGCAGCAGCAACGTCGTCGTCATCATCATCATCATCATTACAATCAGCATCATCTGCATTCTTTCCTGGGCGTTACGAGGTTCGTGTAGGTGCCTGGTACGGCGGGACGGACCAGGTGTGGAACTGATTTGCGTTCTGTACGGCACAGGTACCCCCGGGGCACGTGTGGATTCAGGGCGACAATCTGACGCAGTCGTTGGATTCCCGGCAGTACGGCGCCGTACCGAGGGCCATGGTGCGAGGCCGAGTAATCTTTCAGGTGCGTCCATGTACGGCAGAATATCTTTCAGGGCCGAGTAATCTTTCAGGTGCGTTCATGTACGGCGCCTATACGCTTATGGCCGAATTGTGAGAGCCCCTTAGACTTGTTGCGTCGTCGCAATCCTACATGCGTGCGAGGTTGGGAATTATCATGGCCATTAAACGGACTGTTTTTTGGTAGGTTGCCTTTGTTGACGTGTCGCTTCGTTGAATGCCTGTGCTCACGCCTCCTCGCTCGCTGCTCATGGACTCTTTTTGCTTCGTCACGCCACGGCATCGCATATGGAGGAAATTCGCCGGCTTGAAGGAGCGATTGTTTCCCTGGCTCCTCATTAATGCAGGTTTTTCCAAATCCTGGATGGGTGGACAACTCCATAGAATCCGTCAGGCGGTGATGATGAACTACGAAATCATACGAGGGCTTTCTGGAGCGTGAATGGCAGAGCCTCCGAGCAAAGATATAGATGTATAGCACTTGAGCGTTGCCATACTGATGACCCCAGGAGGAGGGTAGGATCCGGGCTGGAATTAGGGAAGAGCTCTGTCGCAGAATTAGCCTGGATTTTATTCCTGACAAAAGAATTGGTCCGTCGAGGTCTTGAATTGTTCTGGCGGGCTCGCCGGAGGTATTCGAATTGCGCTGTGGAGCCCCGGAATTGGGCTGTGCTGGCCTGGATTGGCCTGTCCGGGTGTCGAATTGGCCTGGCAAAGTATTGAATTAGCCTTGCAGGGTATCGAATTGGCCTGCTCAGGGTGTCGAATTGGCTGTAAAGTTTGCAGGATTGGCTCAGGCTGGCATCCGGAAGCACATGACTTTTAAGGAATTTACAGAAAACTTTGCAAGGGGACCGCTTACAAGTGCTTCATGTGCGTGTTGGTTTCGATCCCAGGACGTGGAGCAGGAAAACTTGCACACCTGGTTACCGTACTCTGGCAATGTCGGGAGGCAAGCACTCAGGGCCACAACTGCAATACCCAGTCAAGTCAGTCGCTGAGGCCCCACTGTTTTCCTACCACACTTCATCGGCAGTTTGTCCAGTTTATACCCGCCGTACTCGCATGCATGAATAGGTTCGGGTGGAAACAATGGCGAATCTCCGATACACACCGCTAAACTCAGTACCACGAGCTACAATGAAAACAAAAGAAAATGCAGATGTCTGTCGAGAAGAATGTGTGCTCCATATGCGTTCTGTGCCTTAATACATCGAGCTCTCCGTTAGGCGGGGCATGGCCCATGAAGTTGCCCCTGGTATTCCGCCCATGCAACCAAACACTGTCACAAAACGTTGCACGTCTGGGCCCATGTAAACAACGACACTTCCGTGTGGATTGGCTACCCGCGCTCTCCATGCCAGGGGTCCTCCCTCCTGCTGGTGACTCCCAGATTGTCCACGCACAAACGCCAAACGTTGGCGCAGAAAACAGACAGGCCACTGCAGTATGGCATCAAACCATGCATAACCCACAGCGGCTTTCAGCAGCAGTACTGCTTGGCGAATGCGACTAGCATGTACTCCGTTGCGCATCAAACACCCATCCACGCGTTGCACTCCAGCAGACCATCGGATTCCATGTCGTAATACACTGTCGCCCCAACACGTGTGTTAGCAGCCGCGGACAAGCATGGGTCCAGGTTGATCCCGCCAGGAGTGAACACCAGCCGCCCACTCAGGGGTTGTGTCTCAGCTACAGAGCGCGCCACAGCAACTATAGAGGTGCCTGTCTTGAATATCCAGCAACGAGTTGGCGATCTGTCGAAACTGTGAACCGACCCCCGAACAAGCTGCTCTGCCCTTAAGATCTCTGCTGACCTGTACATCAATACACACCAATTGGGTCAGCACAAACCATGTGTCACACGAGTGAGGCTCAGCTTGTCACGCGACTCACTGGAATCCAAAATCGTTGTCACCACATTGCGCGCACGTTGTAACGCTTCCCTCCACCTTCTGTCATCTATGGCCCGGTACACTCCCTCTCAGTGCCGTGGCGGCACGAAAGAGGGAGAGCTGTAAATCCTCTGCATGGGAGGGGGTGTATGTAAGGACACACGGTCTCTCAAAACACCGTTCGCAATGTTTCCATTGTCCTACCCTCTACCCCAGGGCTTCCTTTTGTGCTGGCAGATATAATAGCATGCTGATTGTCATCCTTGCTGTTGGATTTGGGTGCGTTGAGAGTCTGCGGCAATGCGGCTTGCGAGTTGCCCGCTTGTGCCAACCAGCGCCGTAAAGGGTTGCCGCGTAGTACAGTTTCAACCAACGACCAACCAACGAGAGTATGGGGCCTGCGAACCCACGATCAGGTTGAAGCACAGAAATGCAAACATAGATCTGATCGGCAGATCATTTTGTTGAACGCGTTTATCCTGCGGAAATAAACTGGCAGCTATTAGTGGTGCTGTTCACGGATGACCGGCCCTATTTGCCTATTACTAGGAGGAGGCGATTTCCATGATGGAGTAGTATTTTGAAAATCTGTTTGCATGATTTTGAAGGGTTTATAATTCTATAATATTGCAGTGCATTCGGTCCTGCAGGCGGGCCGTATTCTTGCAGTTCTGTGACGCGGCCTGTGGTCAAACATGAAGCACCCGAGCATGCCGCATGTAGCAAAACTGCATTGGATTTGAGGTCTACATAATCCTGGGTAATATTAAAATTATTTTGGTGCAACGGCCAACGTCTTTTTATGAAATGCGTTCGGACCGCGGGAAGTTGCGAGGCCCGCAGCTGAACTTTGTTGAACGCGGCATGGAAACAAGATATTGTTGTTACAAAGTCACTGCAATTTCGCTCTGTGACCCGACCAACGGTATTCGCACGTGCGTGTGCGTGTGCGTGTGCAGCCGCGTGCCAGAGCGCGAGTAGGGCCCCTCACGTTCGACCTGCTCCTTATACCCATGACACCCCCCACAAAACGTCTTGGGGGACGTGCTCACGATCATCACCATATAACCGTATATCAAAAAACTTACTGCTGTTAGCAAATGCTGAACAGAAACCCAGCACCGTACATCTGCGGTGACACAGCACCCCAACTCAAAGCGAAGCAAGGAAGAACATTGTATTGTGTAGCACAGCAAAGCCAACAGATTTGGACGGCATCTGTACGGAGATGTTATCTGGTCCGTTGCATCTGCTGTGCAAGAGA